ATCGCTGGCATCACAGACCACATGAAATGGCCTGTCCTGATCGGCTATTGCTAGGACTGGGGATTGTATCAAGCTCTGCTTGATAACCTCAAAGGAGCGCTGACATTCAGCGTTCCATAATCACCTCTCGTTCTTTTTCAACAAACGAGAGAGGTGCACAGTCATCTCGGCGTAATTGCGTGAATACTTATGCAAATACGCCGCTAGCCCAAGGAATTTTCGAAGACCTTTGACATCAACCGGCACAGGCCAGTCGGTGATCGCCCTGATCTTTTCGGATCAGGACGTACACCGTTCTTACCAACGATGCACCCAAGAAGTGGTATTTCGCTTGCTGCAAATATACACTTCTTGAGGTTAGCATACAATTGATGCTTTCGCATGATGGTAAGAACTTGTCAGACGTGGTATCTGAGAACCTCAACTTCCGACTTTCCATCCATATCCCGACTATGGATGAATACGTCATCGAAATAACTCGGCGCGAATTCTCGTACTGGTCTCAACAGATGTGTATACACATCTGTTGAACGTGGCAGGGGCATTACTGAGCCCTTGTGGCATTACTAGCCATTCCCAGAGCATGCCGCTAGGCGTGCTAACTGCGGTATAGGGTATATCCCGTTCCCGCATAAGGATTTGATAGAAGCCATCCATCAAATCCATGGACGAAAAGATGGTACTCTTTGACATACCATCAATGATTACGTCCTTCCTCGGTATCGGCGTCTGAGCCGGTACCGTTGCAGCGTTCAATTTGTTGAACGCGTGCACTATCCGCCACCCTCCTGTTGCTTTTCGCACACAGAAGGTCGGAGAGCTATGTGGGGAAGTTGATTCCCTCACATGGCCCGCAGCTAAACGATCGGCAAAGAACTTGTCGATCGCAAGTACTTGTTCACGAGGCAGTGGCCACTGCTTCATGACACAGTACTTCGAGCCTGGTTTAAGCTCGACCTCGTGTCGAATACCTTTATCCTTCGGTAATTCGCACGGAACAGTTTCAGGGAATACATACTTGAATTCAACCAAATCTTCATAGAGAGGATTTTTCTTGAGCGATTCCCATGATTGGGACTCATATCGCTCAATTCGTGTCTTTTTCATCTAGGACGCTCTCGTCCATAGATGAACTACTGAGAACTCTCTCGTTCGCAGTACACATTGTTGCTGACCTTATGTCGGTTACACACTCGTCGTCAGCGACGAGTACGCAGATCTGCTTGACTTTGCCACTACGCAGATCACGCAAGAACCTTTTATGTTCGAGCGTTGGCAACTGAGTGATCTCCGAATTTAACTTCGGAGGCGCAATCAGATCAAGTGTATAAGCGCCTACACTTGATCCGTTATTGACTATGACATTCAATGTCTCTGTCATTTCCTGGGGACTCATTCCCTCAGGCTTGAAGGACTTATTCCTTCGTCTTCCCGGGGACTTATTCCCGCGGGTTTAGGGGAACTTTTTTCCACCGTATTTGTAATCTTGGGACTTATTCCCTTTACTTCCTCTAGCTGGGGTTGCGCAACCACCGCGAGATCCTCTACGAAAGACTCTCCAGTCGATCTAGGATTATCGTTTCGCTTAACCTAAGCGACCGATTGTTTCTCTTCTAGATGTTCCCCGCTAGGGATACATCTTTGTCTCAGTCCACTCGACTTATTCGAGTGGTGGACCTTCGGCGCAGCCTGTGTTTCCTCACAGCCGCCGGAATCTTGCTCCGAAATGTAACTGTTTGGTACACTAAGGTTTCGTGCAGTCGTGATAACGACCGTACCATAAGTGAGGCCATCGCACTCACTCGTAGTACATCCACACGCTTGTGGACGCTCCAAAACGTTCATCAGATGGCCATCTGATGAACAAGCGGCAGGCATCGTTACTGTCCGATGTTGCCAATTTACTCGTGGTTCGTACCTTCTGAGCCACGGTATTCCAAGGATGACTTCAAATTTGTCATCCAAATCCAATACGATAAAGTCATCGTCATATTGGGTATCTTCTAGCGTATAGTGGATCTTCACTATACGCTTCATGACGGTTACGGATACGCCTGTCGCAAGACGTACCGTCATCCTCGTAGGAGGTGTGTCACATTCACTGAATTTAAAGTGACCATCTTCTAGCGATTGGCGTCGCACAAAATTGTTGGACGCCCCACAATCGACTAGAGCTCGAAGGGACAACTTATTCGTCACTTCGAGTTTCAAGGTAATGAGTGAGATCTCATTACCTAGAGCAGCAACGCACAACGTTTGTGTGTTGGGAGCAACCTTCATCAAGAGGCCTACAAATTCTCTTGACGTTGCTGGATCAGTAGGGTGCTCCGCACCTACTGATCCTGTCCGTTTTTTGACGGTCCATCCCGTTGGTGCGTCTTTGCACCAACTGCGGACGCTCGTCCTTGCCCCTTTCTCATGGGTGGACGGTCACTACGCCCAGTGTCGCGAGACACTGGACGAGGGGCACTACACTCGTAAGCGTAGTGTCCTGTCTTTTGACATCTGTTGCATCTCTGCAACCTCTTGTAGCCTGTAGAGCGAGCCTTCTCGCTTTCTACATAACAGAGTTCCATCGGCTCTGGACCTCCGTTGTCATATCGTCTCGGTTGACGATATGATGTCGAGCTGGCGCGAGCCTGTCTCAGACTGAAGTCTTCCTGCTCCGCAATGGAAATGGCTTGTTCTAGTGAATCTAGTTCAAGCCGGAACAGGTGAGTCTTGACGGGACCATCCGCAAGACCCTGCATTAACACCGAAACCAACGTGTGTTCATCCACCGGATTGGAACTTATACAACTCGTGAGATGTCGTATATGTTGAGCGTAAGCGTGTACATCACGCTTACCTTGCTTGAGCTTCAAGAGTTCAGTTTGAGCTCTGAACTCAGCTCTAGGCGGTTCAAACGTTTGTCTGAGCCGCGACTTGAAGTCTTTTAACGATTCAAACACATATGGGTCGTGCAACTTGAGCCCCAGTGCCCAAGTCTTGGCACGTCCTGCCAGATTTGATTGGGCAAATGCAACTTGAATTTCCCCGTCGTTGATGCGACGCGCCTTTATGGCGTCATCCAATTCGACGAACCATCTCAAGAGGGAGTCTTCTTCGACTCCCCTGTACTTGTAGATGTCAATCTTCAAGGTCTCGGGTCGACGCGAATGCATCGACTCACCAGCAGCAGCCTGCTGCTGTCTCAAAAGTTCAAACTGTTGAGCACCCTGTTCTCTCAACAAATCAGCTTGTTGAGAACCTTGTTGGTGAAGCAAGGCTACTTTCTCGCGTTCAGCGTCAAGTTCATTTTGAGTGATCTTGGCGATAGTAGCATGTTGGGCATCTCTATTGAGAGCCTCTAGCATGACGCTAACAGCATGGATGCCCATGGTTGAACCCATCCGTTCAACCGCATCCCATTCGACATCGCTCAAATGGGAGTAGCCGTCACGCGTAGCGTGAAAGCTTTGGTCATCTTCATCATCCAACACATTCATGTTAGATGTGAACGTGGTCCTTGGACGGACTACGAAGTGCTACCAGGTGTAACGGGGTACCCTGAAGCTTGTAGTGATGACAGTACAAGCTACTTATTCTGATGACAAAATAAGGCGGTACCTCGTAACTTCACGTACACTCGTACGTGCAGAAGAAGACGGTAAGAAGAAGCGAGTACTTGGTCAAAGTAAAAAGTAGAACTGTATTTATCATAGTTAATGTCTGCAATAAATCACTATTTATCTTCATCTAACTATGTCTGAATACAAATGAGTAAATCAATTATTCTCTCACCACTTATTGCGTGTGTCTATCGTGGCGCGTCTTCGTTGGTTGATATAATGGCCTATATCAACCAATTGGGAACTACTCGTAAGTGCTGCAGAATATTTGTCCTTATGACAATATTCTGAGAATGTAACTCTTACAGTTATATATTCTATGAATAATTTCTTATAAATTGTTATGTAACGATTCACCCCGTTACATCTCGGACATGATGCCGCCACGTTCCATTGAGCCAGTCAACCTGCCTCTTGCAGTGTCCGCCCCGGATGATACAAAGGCGTGAGGCGTCGCCTTCGAGTCCGATGCATCATCCGACTCGGCAGAATAGTTCAGCTCTATTTCAGGCTCATCTACATTGCGAGTCAGAACATCCGCTGCGGACGCAGCGGATGCATCTTTCGCACGTGGTGACTCACCACGTGGACTATTCACAACAGGGACCGCCTGTAGCTGAATCGCAACAGCAGGAGAAGGATTACCTGCTGCTGAGGCTTGAGAATAACTCTCTTTGACTGCACGCATGCGTGCAACCGCCTTCTTTGATGATGCAGCAGCGTACCGCACGGACATTGACGCTATGCGATGAATCGGCAAAAAGAGTTGGAATTTGACCAACAAGTGCTCCCCTTCCCAGATTGGTCTAACGGCGATCACCCTGTCACAAATTAGTTAAATTTAATCAAGGGGTGATTGATGGCTAAGCGGGTTGATGTAACAGGGTAGCTCATTACATGATATGGACACCAAATGGTGTCAACAGGGAGATTGTCGAACATGATTATTTACAGCCAATACCCTAGATTAATTTAATTAAAGGAACATTTTCCCCTTAATGGATAATAATCATGCGCTGCTGAAGGATTAGTTAATAAAATACGGATCAACTAAGATTACCACCAATCGCTGCTAGACGCGCGTAATGAGTAGTGAGCAGGTTGTCATTATACGACATGTTAGATTAAAATAGTGAGATGAAGACTGAAGTTATATTGATAGGTTAACCGTGATAGATACGGTTCTCTTATTACCTTTACTCAAACGCTAGTTCGCATACTCAAACTAGTAGTGCAAACTGCTACTGCTAGTTCGTGTACTCAAACTAAAAGTGCAAACTGCTATTTTACCTGATTAGTGACAGGGTGATCGTTGTTAGACCAATCTGGGAAGGGGAGCACTTGTTGGTCAAATTCCAACTCTTTTTGCCGATTCATCGCATAGCGTCAATGTCCGTGCGGTACGCTGCCGCATCATCAAAGAAGGCGGTTGCACGCATGCGTGCAGTCAAAGAGAGTTATTCTCAAGCCTCAGCAGCAGGTAATCCTTCTCCTGCTGTTGCGATTCAGCTACAGGCGGTCCCTGTTGTGAATAGTCCACGTGGTGAGTCACCACGTGCGAAAGATGCATCCGCTGCGTCCGCAGCGGATGTTCTGACTCGCAATGTAGATGAGCCTGAAATAGAGCTGAACTATTCTGTCGATTCGGATGATGCATCGGACTCGAAGGCGACGCCTCACGCCTTTGTATCATCCGGGGCGGACACTGCAAGAGACAGGTTGACTGGCTCAATGGAACGTGGCGGCATCACGTCCGAGATCGTCGGACCAAGCGATTCTTCTGACGAATCCTCGCCTCACGCACTTCCATCCGACGATAGGACGGGGTGATGGTGGTGATGCACCTATGTATCACCACGATAGAATCTACTCGAGGGATAGAGATGCCACTGGTGTCAGGGCTCATGCTGACACCACCCTAGAGGCCAGGGACCGCAACGTCCTGCGCCATTCACCACAAGTGGAGTCTTCTTAGATGCCATGATACAAGGAGTTAAATTGATGGGCTGGTGTGACCGCCAAACGGGATCGTATCCCGTTTCTCGACCGTAGGAGGATCTGTCCTCCTAATTCCAGCACGGAAACTATCCGTGCTGAGGAAGAGTTCTCCACCGATGTGTTTTTCAAATATCGGTGGTAGAACGGCCACCGTGGTCGGACCTTGGCTCAAGGATGGAATGCCTTAATCCATAGCATCGAGTGCATTGACTGTGAGGCCTGGCTCGGTAATCCTGATGCTCGCAAGCTCGCAACAGATTTGAGAGGAGCAACCCAGTCGGTGTACGATACAAGTTGCACCGACTGTCAAGAAAGGGAGGATTACCCCGTCTCTTGGGTTGACTCGTGCCTAAGTTGCCTGGACAACTCAAACCGTGCATCTAGATCGGCCTACCTCCCTAATGATCCCTACTGGAGGGTGCGCATCTCTTCCGAGATGGCCGAAGAGATTGATACTTTGCAATCCCCGCACTCGCGTTTGGGGAGGTCGTTTTCCGACGGCCCAGGTTCGAACGCAGCGGGTGGGTCTCGTCATATTACTCGACGAGACCCAGAACATCAACGATCAGCTGAGCACGAGGCTCCCAACTGTCCAAGGCCAGTGGGTAGCCACGCCAGCGGACGAGGTAACTCGTCCGGACGCCTTTCACATCGCGGTGGTTCAAAATATACTCCACTAGGAAGCGTTGACCACCGCCAGAGTCCACAAAAGGATGTGGTGGTGGCGGGAACACCTGATTTGGCTCGAGGGTCGGATCATCTTGATGCTCAGGAACTAAATCGTGTAACGGAACATTTACACGATGACCTGGTCATGGACGGACTTGGCGTTATGAGCTCCATGAACTTGTAAGGGATAAGTACAATTCCTTAGCGCATGATAGTGCAAAAAGTCGTGCCGCGTTTGCGTTCGCGCGACTTGGGAACGAGCGTTCGTTTATGTTCTCTTCGTGACGAGCTTACCGCAGCTCGTCGAGACATCGTTCAGCTGCGTGAGCAGTTTGCTTCGCTAGTCGATTATACTGACTCGTTAAAACGGTCCCACTCGAAGGTGGTCTCGGCTCTTGACCGCAGAGGTGTTCTTCACCTTTCGAAACGGATCCTACGTTTTACGAGGCAGTTTAATCGAGTATGTGTTGCCCATACGGCGCAACGCACGAAATGAACCAGTACACTTGGTCAGAATTTTCCGCTGCCCACGTTCGTCACTGCACGATTCGTTAAATTACTGAAGACAGTCAAACTAAATCTCCTTCATCAAATGAAAGAACATTTGCTCTTCCATGTTTGTCTGCGTTTCTTTTCTGTCTGTCTATTGCATCTGCAATCGAGTCTTGAACAGAGCGGACAACCTCTTCGCGACTCAGCAGAAATTTCCCTGCTGATTCATACTTTTTAACAGCAGTGCGCTTCGTGTGCACTGTTAGAAGAACGTTGTTTTCACCAGGGGGGGGCGTCATCGTCCTCAGTGTTGCAGTCGTTGGCGATGCTGAACATACCATCACTGTAACGGGGTTGCACGAAATTATGGTACTTTGTACCAGAGGTGTTACAAACCTGAGGCTACCCCTTTGTGAAGGTGATATAGAATATCTTATTGGTTTGTAGGGGCTGACGAGTGTCAGCCATTAGATACGAAAGATCTTTGAGTAGGATTACGATGTTCTATAAGCGTTAACAAAAATAAATTCAGTTCCCGTTTTGATCTAAAGGACACGTGGCTTGCGAGCCGTCTTGATCGTTGATCACTGATCAGAAAGAGTTAGCAACACCTCCTTGAGGTAGCTACTCTTGAGCACTGAGTGCTGTCGATTCACTGAATCGTTAGGTCCTCTGGAACAGGGATCTGAAGCTGTAAAGCTTGTTGACTCGTAAAGTCGTTAGTTCTTTGGAACTAAGTTGCTCGTAGAGCGTTAAGTCTTCCTATGACTTAAGGAGCTGTGTAGCTCCGCTACACTTGGTAGCACTCGTAGTCAATCTACGCCTGAGTCTTTAAGACTGATCCTCTGTGAGGATGGAAAACCCCACTCCCCTATCTGAGGTTCAAAAGGTCGCGCTTGATAATCTGACCGCATCTTTGGGTCCAGAGTACGTGGAGTTCCTTGTTTCACAAGGTCCTGAAGTGCTTAATGCGCGTGTTAAAAGCTTCATGCAGTATGAAGCGACCCTTTTAGGGCAGGTCCAAGACCAAATAGCGTCGGCTATGCCTACACGCTACGTGTCTGTACCAGACGAAGAGGCTAAGCCTCGTCCATTTAGAGTGGAAGTAAAAAACTACTCCTGTAAGGAGGGTGAGAACCTCATACTCTGGATCCGTGAGATTGAGATGGCCATGAGATCAGGCCTGATCACGCTTGACCATCAACAGGTCTCGCTGGCTATCTCGAAGCTCGATGGTAGAGCTAGAGAATGGGCATTGACGTGTAGCACGTCGGTGGACATGGCATTTCCCACATGGGAGTCGCTCAAGTCACAATTGGTACAGGTGTTCTCACCACCTAACCAGGCTTACCGCGTGCGTTCACGCTTTCTTTCTACACGCCAGGGTAAGAATGAATTATCGGACTATGTCCAAGAGCTGCGAACGCTCATGGCTGCAATGCAGTCTGACCCTCTGCCTGAAGCAGTCCATGTGACTATCTTCATGGAAGGTCTACGTACTGGTATTGCCAGAACCGAGGTTTTTCGGGTTCCCCCTCTACGTTTGAAGAGGCTGTGAGAATAGCTCTTAATGCTGAGCATAATTTTAAGTCGGCCAGACTAGGTTGGAATGGATACAATCCTCGCTCTGTGAGAGCAAACATTTCGGGTACCACTGCCTATAATAGGCCGGAACCGATGGATCTCAGCTATGCTGAAGATGGAGGGGAAGCTGAGCTTCAAGCTGCTGAGCAGCGACACGTCGAACGACGATGTTTTACGTGCGGAAGCACTGAACACTTGCGGCCTGGTTGCCCTTTGCGTAAGAACGCCAGGCTACGAGCCAACACTCGACCCCGAGTCTAAAGTCTGGAATGGCACGGGGAAATGCCGACATCCAGTAGGCGCGGGGCGCCCTACTGGGGAAGAACTATGTTCTGTTACACCTTTAGATGGTAAAGGGATGCAGAGATTATCCCAAAGAGTACCATACCTGCAGGTATGGTGCGTGGATACAAGTCTAGCTTGTTGGTCGCCGAGGTGAAATTAAGGGCTTTGAGAAGCCTTGGTCGATATTGATCGATTCTGGAGAGTCTTGCAATTATGCTCGACGCCGTTCCCTTGAGGGAAGTCAGCGTTATGCTGAGGCGCTTACAGCGCATGAGGGTGATTTTATCACGGTTCCTTTAGCGACCGGAAGTCGCGTAACTGTGCCTTAAGTTCCATTGAACTTAGGTATAAAGTTTTTAGATTTGACAGTATTGAGCGCTGTATTGTCCTAGATTTGACTCGAGATATGATCTCATCCAAGGTATGGCTTGGCTTGAACGCCATGAGCCCTGGATTGATTGGAGGTCTAAGACCTTAGACGCTACGCGCAATGTTTCTAGCGAAGCTTTGGAGAGTCATGAACCCACCTTCGCTAGGCAACAGAAGCGCTATTGGCGCGAGCCTTTGACAGAAGATGTCAATGTGCTAGATATTGGAATGTCTGAGTTATCTAACTCCAATGTTACAAACATAAGTTCTGAGCCTAGCTCGTCTGAAACTAGTGAAACGGCACGTACTCCGTTGAGTGTTGCTCGTTGTGATAACGAGTCACTGCATGCTGAAAGGATGGTTGGCCTAGGGCCTAGTGATCAAGGATGTGATTCCTCTGATGTGTGTATGGTGGCACGTGAAACTGCACCGAGTGCGGTCGGCCGTGAGAGCACCGCACTGAACGTCGGTATTGACGTTGTTGGCGATACGCCATATAGTGTGGGCGGCCGTGAGGGCACCATACCAAATGTCAGTAATGATACTGTTGGCGATACGCCGTACAGTGTGGACGGCCGTGAGGGCACCACACCTAATGTCGGTAATGACCTTATTGGCGAGACGCCGTTAAATTTGGGGATAGGCCCGCATAATACACGTGGAGTGGCACGTTTAAATCCCCTGGGTGAAGTGCTCGAGTTGCGTAACACTTCACCGGATGTCGGTCAAGACAAAAGCTCTCGTGTAGAGCGTACTATGGTTGGTAGTAACCATGGGGACAATGTTGCCCCGACCCCTAAGGGGTGTAAGGTCTCGAAGAGACGATCGAGACGCCGGGTAGCTACTTTTAAGCGCCAGGCGTCCTCACAGTCACATAGTGATAATAGTAATACACTATATACACTTGTTAATGGAGTGACTGGTCAGGTTGATGGCAGTGTTTGCCTCGAAACCCTTCCATCTGTGGACGCTCTTTGTGAGCTAGACGAAATGTCTGATGGCGATTTTAGCCAGGACTTGATGGCAGGAGAGTCATCCGAGTTAGCGGTCATTAGACCTGATACTGAGTTGAATTCTTCCTCGTTAATGGATGAGTCTGTCCTGGAGGATACAAAGGCGGCACTTAGTGCACGAAGCGGTTCCTCCATCCTTAAAGATCCTTTGTATCCGTTCTATCCTTTAGTAAAGGAATTTAAGATGTGGTATGTCACAACCCACCTTATGCCTTACCTCCCGATAGAGGCGTACGCCATGAGATTTACCTAGTTCCTGGAACTAAATACTGTGTAACACGGCAGTGGCCTTTGCCTAAAGAACAGTGTGACGTCATTGACGACTCCTTTCGTGCTAAGCACGCGGCTGGAATGGTTCGTGAGAGCAAGTCTCCCCATTCAACATCGACATTTTGTGTCAAAAAGCCAAATGGCAAGTGGCGTATTGTTCATGCTTATAATAAGCTTAATGCAGCCACTATACCGGCGCAGACGCCTGTTCCTAGAAAGGATGTGCTTCAGAACAATATGGCAGGATGTACATTGTACAGTGCACTCGACTTAGTCGATGGTTGTTACCAACTGCTTTTGCGAGCAAGTGATATTCCGCTAACAGCGGTGAGTACTCCGAGCGGTATGCTCCGGGAGTGGCTTGTTATGCCACAAGGGCTATCTAACGCCCCGGCTACGTTTAACCGGCTGGTAACGCAACTATTTAGACCTCATCGAGGCTGTGCACAAACGTACTTTGATGACATTTTTGTCCGTAGTCGTACAATGAACGGGCGATCAGATGTGGATAGCACATTGATCATTTACGAGCGGTGCTCGAGTGTATGGGACGAATAAGTTGTATGCTAACGCATCGAAGTGCATCTTTGGTGGAGAAGCGATTCCCTTTCTAGGGTGCTTCATTGGGAAGCGAGGCCTTCGAGCGGATCCCGCTAAGGTAAAAGCCGTAGTCGATTAGCCGGTTCTTAAGAACCAAAAGGACTTGCGTAAGTGGCTTGGCCTTGCCAATTACTTACACAAGTACAGTGCGAATTACGCAGATATGGCTCGGCTATTGTCCAATCTCCTTGTTGAGGATGTGGATTGGTGTTGGGGTAACACCGAACATGATGCTTTTAAAAAAAGTTATGGAGAGTATCCTTCATGCACCAATATTGGCTTTGCCCGATTCTGATCGGCCTTTCAGTGTCGTCCGTGACGCATCTGACTTTGCCATAGGCAGTGCTCTGTTACAAACAGATGTCGACGTACGCGAACGCGTCATCGCATTCGAGTCTCGGCAGCTGAAAGCTGCTGAAAAGAACTATCCAGTTCATGACAAAGAGCTACTTGTTATGAAGTACGATCTTGTCAAATTCAGAGTACATCTGCTTGGCTCCAAGCCGTTTGTGATCTATACAGATCATGCGTCATTACGCACTGCGACACAGTCAATTTATCTCTCACAGAG